AGCTATATAGTAATAGAAGCACACCTTCCTTCATAAACAGTGGGCACCATTTCATGCTGTCATGGCGACACCGCTGCTTGTTGCTTTTGAACTACTTCTTTCTATTCATCTTGACAGCACCTACGGTAAACAAGAAAATTTCCTTTGAACATCATTACCTGATGCATTTACAGCTAACCGTTTGATGCCTTCTTGTTGATTCATAATAGTGTTTGATATGCAATGTTAGTTCTCTAATAAACAAGGAGTCAATAAACGACTACTGCTTAACTTTCTCTCTTTAAATTTGATATGCAATGCTAGTTCATATACGCAGCAGCCAGCGCCACTTATTTGTGAACTTTGGTCAATTGCAGCTGTAAGTTTGAAGATTGTGTTCTTTCCCCTGCTAGCACTTGAAATTGCTATCTTGGTTGATAATGTTAGGTAAGATACTTATTCTGCCAAGAAATGCTGACCTTTAAACCATCTGGTGGCAGTGTTGAGTTATTTTTGGAATAAAGAGATATGAGATAACGTTTCCAAAAATATGCTTTTTGCAGCATACTTTTAGAGCAGGAAAAATTGGTCTTGGTTTTGGACGTGTATCTAATTCCTTTTGCACTTTTCCTCATGTTCAGAATGTGCAGGGCTCTGATGCCCGGAGATGAAGAAAGCATGAGTGATGAGGCTATATGGGAGACCCTTCCCGTAAGTATAGAGCTCCTATTCTTTTTTATTAAATAAAAAACCGACAGTTAGCAGTCATGTCGTTTCTTGTAGTTTATCTACTAGGAGGAATATGATGTTAATAGCCACTGATACCTTTTAGATTGACTAGCTGAGAAAGCTTATTTGTTCACTTGCATAACTGTGGAAACAAAAGAGCGTAAAGGAATATTTTATGGAGTTTAAAAGGAAGTGAACTCTTAAGTTCTGGATCTTTTCTTACCATAATATTCAAGAGGTTGACTGCTCTCTCCTCACTGGTGAAAGTAGGATTGAACAATAGTTTATGTTGAGGAGTTATGCTTATCAGGAATAAACATACTTGATTATATCTTTTAACTGGGACTTTTAATAAATACGTTTTGCCGCTATATGCAGTCTGGTGTTATGTGCCTTTTGTTGATATATGTTGTGTTTCATCCTGTTAATGTGAAAGTTGTTTGAAAATGTAATTGATTGGTGTAACATGCAGTTTGCGCTAATATCTGTGGATTGGTAGTTTCTGAAAATCATCTTGTTATCTATGTCTCAGCACTTTTGGGTTGCAATCTCTATGGTCTTCTTCATAGCGGCAACAACATTTACTCTTCTGAAGATATGTGGTAATTATTTGACTCTTTCATTGAATTTGTGTGGCCAAAATTGCAATGTTTGCTTCTTCTCGTCTTATTTTTATATCTGTAGCAACATTCTTATCAGTTTGTCTATGTCGCAAAATCAAGTTCATTTGCTATGAATTGCAGGAGATGTTGCTGCTCTTGGGTGGTGGGATTTATTCATTAACTACGGGTACAGAAAACTCCCACTTATTGTGCGTGATAGTTACTTGCGCCTAATTACTTGCTAAACTTGTATCGTTGTTGGCGTTCAGTGTCGCAGAATGTTTTGCATTTATTATCTGCACAAAATGGTACAACCCTGCAATCCACAGACATTCAAGTCTCCGTACACCCAGCTCTTCTACATCAAGCATGCGATATCTTAACTGGAATAGTGGATTTCTGGGATCTTTGGATGAAGATGATCAACAAAATGAAATATGCAATTTACAAGACATTGGCGGTCATGTGATGAAAATTCCTATTGTTTGTTTCCAGATATTGCTTTTCATGCGCTTAGCGGTGCGAAGGCTGTACGAAGTTTTACTTTCAGTTTTACAATTAGTTAATCACATTTGCAACTAACACATTTTGGTTACAGGGGACCCCACCAAGTGCTAGATTTATCCCAATTCCCGTACTGTTTATCCCTCTTTTCCTACTGCAAGGAGCTGGTGTTTTGTTCTCTGTCTATAGACTTGTGGAGAAAATTATTCTTTTGGTTGATGGTGAAGCTGGTGTCGGAAGCTATTTTAGGATATCTTCGTTCATTCGTGATTCTTTCGGTTTAATGCATCACGGGTCAAGGTAATGATAGCAAGGTCAAACTGTGCAACTTCTGATCCTTTCGAGCATTGTATAGGTCCACTCATTTCCGTGTGCTTGTCTCTTTGTGTTGATCTTATTGGTACAGGTTTTTAGGTTGGTGGTCAATAGATGAAGGAAGTCGAGAGGAACAAGCTCGTTTATATTATGCTGGGACATCTGGGTTAGTGTTCTGCTGCTGTTTATACTTGCAACTTTTGCAGTTCTGTACAGCACATTGATGAATGTTTATCCTGTGAGACGATAGTCGCATACCAAACAAGAACTAGATGAGTGAAAATTATTGATGAAAAAAGAACCTTAAGATTACAAAAGCAATAGGATATTTATCATGAAAATGGATTTAAATGCATGGGTAAGTATAAATACTGTAAGAGAAGGACTATTAGTCAATAAAAAGATTCTAAAATGACTTATTGCTTATAATTTTTTTGCCGAATTCTCTTAGAGGACCATGGTAATCTTGTAAGTGCCGCCGGAGATCTTGTAAATAATATGACAGTTATTATTTACTTGGTCCGCTCTAATATGCCTTGAGGTTATTGCCAGCACCTTAGTGGGAATCGTTATCCTATTTTAAAACCTCGTTGGTCTATCGTGATTCCAGATCAAGTTCACTTTTTGATGTTGGCGAATTTATCTTCGCTATCCTACACATGTAGCTCTTGCTTGAAGTTGTACATGCAGTGCTTCATTAACCAATAATACTTCCACTGATTTATCATCTCAGCGTCTTCTGATTGTTATTTTAGGTACGATACTTTCTCACCTGATACTGTAAAGCAAATGCCTAAAGTGAAGCTTGCTGAAGAGGTTGCTTCTCTTTTCTTATTGCCTCTTTTTTGGTTTCTTTAGTGCTCCTTGAGATGGTTAGCTTTTTCGTCATACTATTGCATCCTTCCTCTGCTACCATTGTACCCTAATCCATAATTGGTTATTGTTATCTCAGATATGGAGACTGCAAGCAGCACTTTGTGAGCAATCAGAGATCACAAAATCAAAACAAGATGAGTTCGAAAGGCTTCAAAATGTAAGATTACGTCAAAATATTGCTAATACAGTCAAGCCTCTCTATAACAGTAGCGTTTGTTCCAATATTTTTTGGCTGCTAAAGCGAAGCGCTGTTATAGAGAACATATATTATAACATAACATGAAATATTGGTTCTAGAGAAAATTTGACCGTTATAGTGAAATGTTGTTATAAAGAAGACTATCTAGTTGATGCATTATATTCTCTCGACAAATTCAGCAATAAGAGGAAGAAAACTGTCCACTTTATATTTCTTTTATTATCATGGGATACTTTAAAAGAAATCTAGCCTTCTTTAACAAATACGTGAAGTGTTAGAAAGGAGGAATTAGCTTGCATTACCTTAATTAGTGTTTTTCTTTATAAGTACCTTAATTAGTGTTTCTAAATGTTGTTCCTTGTCCTCACGAATTCATCATGTTTCTGGAATTAGTGTGGATATTTACACTTTCCGAAGAACCCTGCACAACCAAAACTATTTAATGCTTGTTCTTCAATCAGTACTGTCATCTGCTGAGTCATTTACATGTGAATCATTTTGGCAGGAAAAAATTTTATGCAGAATTTGCTTCGAGGAACAGATAAATATTCTTCTCCTTCCTTGTCGGCATCACATCCTCTGCAGGTAAACGGCTAAACCCCTCATGCTACTCCTTTTCTACAGTCCGATTTACGTTCTTTCTGTGATATACGATATTTGAAATATCTACCGTTTAGAGCAGATCCCATATTGAAGGAAAATTAATATCTCATTTCTTTCTCATATAACGCTTTCTGCTAAAAGAAATTCTAATCTGATTATTATAACTGATCATTCTTTTTCAGCACCTGTTGTGACAAGTGCAAGAGGTGTCCCATTTGCCGTGTATTTATAGAAGAGCGTTTGCCTGTAAATGATGTGTAGTTACTTCTATCAGCAAGAAGGTTAGTTTCCCCGAGCTTGTCCTTCGATCAGACAAACAATTTAGATGGTGAATGCAGTTTTATTGAGTCATGTCACCACAACAACATAGGAGTATTGTTTTATCCGATTTTGTATATTTAAAATCGCCTGAACCAGGTTTGTCTAATCTTGTGAACTGTGTATATCATCCACAAGATTGCTGTATTCTGGTAATAGATTATGTAACACAATAGCTATACCAACATTGTGCATATTTTCTCTGCTCTATCAATTATATGATGGCGTTCGACATCTTTGTTTATTGTACTGTGAAATGAAACTCTGATCTTTGCTGAAAATTATTGTCCTTATATACTTTGGGTGACAGTGAAAGGAAAATCACAAACATATAGAATTTTCATACTATTTTCTCTGCTACGCTTGTTTAGACTGGACTCCTTTCTATTTCAACTCCTTAGCCTTGTTCTTTGTAGGAGAAATTACATGTTTATCTTTATAGAATTCAGTTTACTGCTTACTTGGAAGAAAAATGGGGTAGGTGCACAAATAACTTAATGCAAATTTTGATTTTCCTGAACTTAGTAGTAATAAATAAGGCGAGATGGAGCCTTAACGAGTGACAATGGTTCATAGTCCGAATGCTAATTCAAGTTACCTTTCTATTTAGGGATTAGCGTACTTATATTGTTTTGAAATTTTAAACGAAAAATCTTAATTTCAGGACAATTTAGGGCATTTGTGTCCCGAAAAATAGAATCGGAAAACTGAAATTCAGGACGCATTGACTAATTCCTAAATAACAGTTCTTTTGAGTGCTACCTGGTGTCATTTCTACAAAAAAATCGAGGCTTAAAGCTTTCATATCCATAGTTAAAAAAATCATTAGTTGGAGAATTGTTTTTACATTATAGGCATATGGTGAAGGCAGAAAAAAACACGAAAAAGCTACTAAATGAATTGCATAAAAAAAGGAAAATATTACATCGAAAATTAGGGCAAATATTACCTAAAAATAAGTAAAAAAGAAAATAACTGTTTTACTCATGAAAAATGGAGAAAGAAAAATGTCTTTCAACATAAGTTTAGAATAAAAGGACAAGATAGCTGGATTGAAATAGCAAAAATTGCAAACTAGTCTAGTTAATAGGCATTTTGATGCACATCTCATCCATTCTTAAAAAGAAATCATTGAAGCACTCATCAATGGTGCGAAAGGACTCATTAGGGTACAAATTGCAAACTTCAAGGTCCTTTATGCCATCAATTGAAAATTCAATTTGACATCCCCTTATGAAAATTTCATGTGTTAGAGCTGCAACTACACTTTTGGGGTTGATATTCTCTGCAAAATGACAACATATAAATTTGACAAATGAGTGTGTTATTTGTTGACAAGTATAACATATGCTCGAGATGCAAATTATGCTCATTTCTTTGCATATATTTCTTCCATCCTTCAAAAAAATGGTAAAAGTTAGGAAAAAAATGGTAAAAGTTAGGAGTATGAATGTAAGAGTGTGTGTTTATATATATATATACTACGTACATACAGGGGCGGAGCCACAATGGTCGTTATGGATTTCGCAGAACCCAGTAACTTTTGCTCAAACTTTATATTTGTGTTAAATATTTATTTAATATATACAAATAATCTATTCAGAACCCAGTAAATAAATTTTAAAAAAAAATTAATTCAGAATCCATAAACAAAAAATTATGGATCTGCCTCTACGTACATACGTTCATTCTTTCCAAAGTGAGTGAATCGCATGTAAAGATTTGTAAAAGTTTATGATTTACTTGGTTGAAACATACCGTTAAAACTATTTCCTGATAATAGTATAGTAATAGTGTCATATAAAATCGAACAGAGGGGATACGATAGGGTTGTTAAAGAGTATAAACCTGCAGCAACAGCTAAAAGTGCATCTTCAGTAATTGTGATTTTAGGTAATGTTCGACCAATTTTAGTTTCCCAAAGAGAAGCAAGTTCGTTCATGTTAAAATAGTTGCATTGTGGTCGAAAATGTACACATTTGTCCACAGTTCTATAGTCTTCTGCTGCTTTGATAGTGAACTTTCCAATATCAGGACCAGCCACAAAATAAGCTGCAATTTTCAAAGTATAAAGATAACAATGAGTGAATTGATGAAAAGAAGAAAAAATAAGAGTGAAACAATTAATTGAGATATTTCTCAAAAAAAAGAAGAAGAAGGGAAGGTATACCAAAATTTCCATTCAACAGAAATTTTAGTAAAAAAGAAACAGCAACAATGATAACAACAACTTGTACACCTTAGTCCCAAGCAAGTTGGGGTTGGCAATATAAATCTCTATTCCTTTCATTTAGCTCAAAATTATAGTCAAAATGAAAAAGAAAAAAAAACACCATCCCAAGAAGTTGTTCGACAAGATGTACATTAGAACAAAATTTTTGCCATAATTCATGAACTAATGTAGCGACATGGGGCGAAAAAAGGAAAGATAGATGTTCATACACTGATAACGGATGTATGGATTCTCAAGAAGAGCGAACCGTGATGATCCCATAAAATAAAATTTTTAGAAAAAACATATATCAACATACAAATTGTTGAACCACAAAAAGACAATTTTAACTTAATTTCCCTTGTAAATATTTTAGTGAGGTGGGAATAAATGTACCTTTAACAGTGCCATCACCATATATTTGGAAATGGTCAAGAGGAGGAAGAACTTGAGAAGGATGTTTATTGTCATAATAAGGCCAAGAAGCCACTGAATTGCAACAAATGTAAGTGTAGGGTATATTTAGCTCTTCTATCAACCTTCTCACTTTCCTTTTCTCCTTATACATATTTAGCCCTGGTTCCACTGGATCTGACCTGTCTACTTCATGTCCAAACTCTGATGGCAAAAATCTCTAATTTCAAACAAAACATAAACATGAGTTTACCCGCTACAACATATTAAAAGACACTAATAAAGCATAACAATAAAAATAAAAAAATTACACCGTCAGTGTATATATGTAATTTGATCAAGCGCAGATATTGAACAAGATTGTTGTATCTCGCATGTATCTTATACTATTGATTAGCAATAACTCGTATTCATTCATTAACCCCTTTTTTTCATTCTTGGACATCGCTTCCTACTTTTTCTTGTTGTGTTTAAAAAACCTTTACAATACGGTCCGAATTGTTAACTCTTTTTCATAGTTTTGTTACAGATGATATACGGGGAATCTTTTTGTATCGTTGACTTTTACAATAGGCATGGATTGATGTACATACGATTATGTTAAATGTATAAATCTCATGAAACTTAGACACCTTTTTCTCTCTTTTCTTTTGAGAGAAAAATGAAAATATTGTAAAGATTTACCTTAATAGTTCCAACAGATTTCATGGCCTGAACAAGGGCAAGTTGATCAAGTATACTATCACCACCTACAGCTGATATTACTATATCAATCTCATGTTTCCTTAGCATCTCCTCCATATAATCTTGGTCATTTATATCACCCTATTATCAAAAATAACAAAAGACAATTAAACAAACCAAATAGAACTTTTTCTACATTTCATTATTGCATGCATCCTGTGAAAATCAAAAAGTGAAGAATAACAAATAATTAAGTCAGATAAACACTTTTACGTGCAAGGTTATGGCTCCTTTATCCTCAAATGCTTTGATCAATTTAATCTTAGAATGACAATCTGGGAATGATCGAATAAGAATATAAGTTCTTCGATTAGCATCAAGACTTGCTTGTGCTATATATCGTCCGATGAATCCGGTCGCCCCGACAATGAGAATCCGACCACCTTTGCCTGTTACTCCATTAGAAAATGGTGGTGAAGTCATATTTTCTTTAATTTTCTCAAAAACTATGTTGTGCAAGAAATTTTAAAGACTCTCCAAATAGTTTGTAGGCAATTGTATTACTATATACTAGCAAATGCCATGTGAAAAAAGAAAAAGGAAAAGGAAAAGAAAAAAAAAAGGTAAGTAGATTGGTTTATCTTTTAACTTTTCAACTACCCTTCTAGGTTATGTTTTTCACCCATTTTTTTAGTTTGAACTTTGGTATTGACTTGTTAGACATTGTTGACCACTAGGTTTGATGTTATAGTTTTTTTTTTCAAACTTCTATTTGACTGGTAGATCACAATAAAAACACCCCATAAATAAGAATAATAAAAGCATAGTACAAGAATCCGAAGAAAAAGGACAAAGTGGATTCCTACATGTTTAATTGATCTTATAGGTTTGTTACTAGATTTAATGTGACTTTTGTCGCAATAGCGGTAGTTGTGTGTATTTATTATTCAAGAGAGAAAAATATTAAAAGAGCAGCTCAGTGCATTAAGCTCCCGCTATTGTACCATAAGGGTCCGGGGAAGGGACGGACCACAAGGGTCTATTATACGCAACCTTACCCTACATTTCTGCAAGAAATTGTTTCCACGGCTTAAACCCGTAACCTCCTGGTCACATGACAACAACTTTACTAGTTACACCAAGTCTCCCCTCCGAGACAGAAAAATATTGATGCTATCAATTGTTTTGTGCATTTTCAAGCATAAGCAACTACAAGTCCATATTTGCAAATACAACTAAACATTGACAACTACTCCAAGTATTGCAAACTTGTCTACTTACTAAAGGACATTAAATTACACGGTTAGCAAAGAGACTAATCATAATTGTATCTTATAATTTTTATAACATAAACTTTAAAAATTATAGCTACTCTCAAAATAATAGCCGAAAAAATATATATTTTTTATATATATATACATTCTGTATGTTATATACAAATTTTATACAAGTTTTCGTCTAAATTTCCTAAGTTTGATGTTGAAGTTAGAATCAACTAAGGTAAACCAAAAATCAACAAGTTAGTTCGTGAAGGGCTAGAATATGATAAAATCATGCATTCCTACTATAAACCTGCATATGATTTAGTAATGAGACAATTTCAGCTTCATGTTTTCATTGCACTTGTCAGTGTTGAAAGTAGGGTAATTTGTGACAACAGTGAAAAACCTAAAAGCAAAAAAAGAAAAAAAAAAGGCATTGACATCAAACTCAAAATTGTAGAAGACTGCTAAAACTAGAGCACCCCCTCTTTTGTATGCAAGACAATGGAACCAAGAAAAGCAAGTGAGATCATAAGGCCTCCTTGATGTTGAAGGTTCTTGATATGTCCCTAGCATAGTCATATTGATTTAGTTCTACGAGCATCTTCTTCAACCGACGAGCAAATTTAGACGTATCTATCTCTCCACTGCTTGATGAATGCTTCTTCTCGAGCACTCTGCCAAGTTTTAGCAAGTAATCCACCAACGGTCGTAACTTTGGACTGCACACGGATAACGGATTAAAGAACATCAGTAAGATTGAAAGAATAAACAGTTTCACAAGAAACCACGTAAATCAGATATTTATAAAACAAACTGATCATGGAAGGAGCTGACGATTTTTTGCCAGTTCCTAGAGTCCATCTCTTCTACATGAAGATCTCTTCAAGATGTTACCCCTTTTTTCTTTCCTTTCCAGTGTTCTTGCACACACCTCAGACTATTTCCCTGTACATCTACATTGGTACAAACACAAGTACCGAGTAACTTTGTCCTCCAAGGCTTAAGTAGTAAAGGTAAAATCACTCAATTTTTTAACATTGGGCTAGGATTTGAGCCTTGCTCTTCCCACAAATTTTTCAACTTTATTGACCGCTAGGCCACACACGTGGTTGCAATATAATCCTTCCCTCTTATTTAAGAAAAAAAAAAACATCACCTCATATGGGTAAACCACATGTCTAGAGACAACCAGACAAATGGATGAGTCAAAGATAAACATTCTCCCACCAACCAGCTGAAAAATCATCACAATGACTACATTCTACCCCCGTCAACACCAACTAGATGAAGGGAGAAAACAGACGAATGGATTTTTATCTCTTCCTCTCTTCTTTCTCCCCCAAAAATCTACAATGAGCCACCTTCCCTCTCTTCTCTTCGGCTACCATTCATTTATGACTTTTGGAAGATCGGCAAATGACATGGCAATGGCGACAAAGACCATGACAGTCAGAAGATTTATTTTGGCATTTGCCAACAAGCCTCTGAACAAGTACACATAAATGACCAAATATAAGTTTACCCGTAATATAGTTATAAGTTAAATTTTTTTGACAAGGTAAGTTATAACTTATAAGATATATCTTAACCTTGAATAAGCTAATAGATTTGATCTTCTCTCTCACTTGCTAAGCTCTCTGCCCTTTACACCTCATCACAGCATATGCCATAATGATGACTGCCAGACTATTCTGGCAACCAAGTCCAGTTACTTCATATTTAAGTTCCTGGAGCTTTAGTACTTAACTTTGACCATGAACTACCCTCCCTTTCTTTTGATAAGCCACTGGACTACTCTCTTTTTTAACTTATTTTTTGATAAGCAAAAGTATAAATAATAAAGGAGACGATTATAAATTTTCTACTTACTAACAGAATATGATGACTCCTACATGTTAATGGGCATTGATTTTTTTGTTGGGGTGACAAGTCATTCTTACTCGGCTTATCAAAAGTTGACAAGTGACAGTTAAATAAGAAAAGGATATTTTAACGATCACTTTTGACCTATTTGTCAGTCTTTTGAAAAGTAGATTTTTCTTATATGAGTTCTCTGTGGTGCCAAGACAAGTTAAATTTGTAGTGAAACATGATTCTGATCAAACTATGAATCTATACAAACAGCATCGTGAGGAAGGTGTCAGTGATTAAGGTAGTATTGGGGAACTCTTCAATTTCATTGTACTACTAACAAGTACAAGCATGTCTTCACCCCATCTGAACTTAGCATTAATCTTGTCATGATATGAAAAGTCCCAAACAGAGCCTTGGTTTTCGTGTCTACCACAGAGTTTAGAGAACCTAACACCCATCAGAAAGTCTTAGATTCTAGAGTCAAGCACTGCTTTACTTATTAAAACCAAGGGAACTTAAGCTTCAGCTATTCAAGTTCAGACAGCAAGTTAGCCATGCACTTCAAAAGTTATTTCTGGTTGTTATATTCCTTGAAGCAAATTAGTAGCACTAACATCAGAGGAAAAAAATTCCGTCATTAGATAAAATTAATTTTCTTACCTATCAAAAAAATAAAAAGAAAATATTTCTTACTTATGAAAAAATTGGATTCCAAAAGCAGATGTCAAAGAATTTCTTGGATGTTAGAGTTACAGCAAGTCTATTAAGGAAAGGGAATGTTTTTTGAAGGGCATGGCCGGACAAATAATGGAAGCCATTTTACTTTCCTCCATATGACGCAAGCATGTTACTCCCCAAAATTCCACCAACCGAAAGTACTTGCTCACAGCTGTGATAGAAGTTACAGCTTCATGGAAAGGATGCTCGTTTTTTCATTAAAGCATGTCTGTAACTATAATTATAATAAATAAACATAGATGAGTTGGTCCTTTACCCTTTCGCTTCTATAATATATCTTTTCCCCTCTGCTTTTTACCTTCTCTATTTCTCCCATTTGGTAAGGCAATATCTTACATGTTTACTATTTGCCTACTAAAGAAGAATAATGGAATTACATACATGCTTTGGGAGGTCAAAGCACCAAAGAATATGTCTCTTTCTGTAGTATTATATAATTGGTGAACAAAGAATTCTTCTCTAGTTTGTAACCACGCGCTCCTAGCCAAGACTAGAACAACGACCAATGTGGGATACTGTACCCAATTGTCCATATGCCAGACAAGAAAGTAGTCCCAAGAGAGTTAGACTACTTCACGCCATTTTCTATTTCCTTTAAATCTTTCTTCTACTCATATCACACCCCAACAAATATATGGCAAGTTAGCATTGTTAAGTAATGAAGCTAAGAATAACAATCTCAAGGCAAGTAGAGATCTAAAGATGGAATTTCTGATGAAGACTAGAGAACATGGAATGCCAACTAAATAACCTACTCAAATTAACAGTACCTGCAATCCCCTGTGACTTTGGGTCCAGCCCAGACACCGCGTACTGATGCGACAACTCTTTCAGTTCTTGTTACAGCATCATGAATGTTCGACTGAATGCTTCGAAGATGAGGAAGAATCTTTCCACTGAAGAGTTGATCAAGAACCAGCTCCTCCAGGACAGGCATGGCAAAAATCTCATGAAACAAGCATATGTTCCTCATCAAACGAATAGACATGCCAAACCTATAAGCAGCAACACGTGCTGCATCAGGTACAGCCCTCATTACGACGGTGTCCCACGTTGGTACCTGCAAAAGAAGTTCAGAAGATATAAATGAGCAATCCAGTTTAAACAAAACCAGCATGCAAAAATGTGTAGGAGCATTAACCTATAGTACTAACTAAAGGACATTAAAGAAGTGTTAAATCTATTGGAGCCTCTCATCCTTTTTCACATCATAAACTTACGACTTCACTACCAACAAAAAAAGATGAGGGCCAATCTTACTCCATTCCTCCCCACTTTACTATTCCTAGTCTCGTCGCATTTTTCTAGAAAAACTTGTTCCCAATAGTTATTTCACTTGGATGTGTAGAAACCCATACTTAAAAATAATGTGTTGAAAATTATGCACGCAATTTTGGCCTCTGGTGATAAGAACGCACCTTCAAATTAGCCACAGCATCAGCTAGACGATCACGAAGCACAGCAACCAGATTGCTGAGGGCTGAGCTAGAAAAGGGGCCATACCTCAACACCAGTTTCATGGCAGAGACAGCACATTCTGTTTCACTAGTGCTAAGCATATCCCAGCAATTTGCTAACTGGTTATGTAGAATAGGTATTGCAAGTTTCTCCACCAACTGAGGAATAAGATTGGCATCAGCGTCATCAGCGTTTATTTCGTTTTCACCTTCTGGAAGTCCATAATTGAATAGCAAAGAGTGCCTGGAATTAAAAAAAATAGTTGGTAAGAGAATTAAATCTCAAGGAATTAGCAATATGAACACATGAGAGATGAAATGAAGCATTTATGTCTTGCTTCCGTAAGATTGCTTCGCATGGAGCCAAATACTTCATCAAATTCAAACCAATTTATATTGCAAAAAGCATCTGGAATTTCTATATTTCACTTGGCATTATCAGTATTGGCAAGTATAAATCGTTCGCCCTCTGTGACTACAATATAAAGCCACAAAGCTCCTATCCTCAAAAAGGAAGGACCGAGCTTGGAAAGGAAAGGGTTGAGGTCATAATCCTTGAGAATAATTGAATAAAATTAGTTGTGCACATACCAGTTCATATCCATAAAATCTGCATTTTCATGTAGAGGATCCCACTTCAGAAGCTCCAGTCTTACATAGGGTGAAAAAATAGCAGGTATACTAAGTGACATATATGCATCGCGATAGCTTGAGGCATAATCTTTCTTCCATCTGTCAAACTTTTCAACAACCACAGACAGTTGAGAGTATTCTTCATGTGCATCACCAAAAATCTGCTCGGCAACCTGAAGCAATTGATCACGGCTTGACTCATATGCCGTACTCTCAGAGTCACTTTCATCAGTACTAGATTCTCCTTCTATTTTATGATAGGAGCTGTCACGTTCTATANACTCTCGGAGTCACTTTCATCAGTACTAGATTCTCCTTCTATTTTATGATAGGAGCTGTCACGTTCTATAGCTGACATTCTCTTAACATCATTTCTCACTCTCCTTAATTTCCGAGCCTCTGCCCTTCTAGTCGTATCCATCCGTTTCTGCAGATTCACATCTCTACCAAAGTCATCTAGCTCTGCAGGTAAATCTCCTCCTTTCCTCATGGATGCTGTTGCAGCTTGAGCAGCAGCCGTGGCAGTTTCTATTGTTGCCGCATTGCTCCCACCTTTACTTAGAACTTGTCTTGCAGCATTTACAGCGGCTTCGAGTTCCCTCATTTCATCATCATTATCAGCAGCTCTCCTTTCTAAGGTAGCTTCTGCTCGTTCTTCATGAAGTTTCTGCATCTGGTCTTCAAGTTCCTCGATGTAAGGAGCTTTATCCTGTAAGGATTTAAAATACCCTAACAGTTAGCACACAGGATTTAGTTCTCCGGGACAACTCAAACAAACACTTTCTGCAAAAGCTCAAAAATTGAGTGTGCAGACTCAACTTCTCAAAATATTAAACAAACCGGCCCTCGGTATTTTTACCCTATAATCCTACCAAATAGTCCAACTTTAGACAGCTTAAAAGTCCACTAATTTTTCACCTAAACATAGTATGATATTGTATTAGTGGCCGCTAAAGAGAGAAACAGTAATAAGAAGCTTACTTGATCACGAAAAGAATAAAAAAATCCTTATCAAAAATGAATTAATTTTTCTAAGGCGAAAAACATAACCAAGCATTGAACTTCATAAAAAAAAAACATATCAAGCATTGGCACTTTAGTGGAAACAAGGAACAAACGAAGAAAAAGAAANATTCAAATTCAGTGACTTTCTTATGGATATTCATCCATGACACTTCCTTCCAATATAAATTGACAGCCACATCTATTATTTATAGTAATGCCTCTTCAAGCATGGACCCAAGACACATGCTTTATGCCATGGCTGCACTTCTTAGAAGAGCTGCTTTAGCAAGGCAAAGCACCTAAGCTGCACTACACCGCTATGTCTAACACTGAATAATTAAATGGATCTTAAAAAAGCATCAGACTCTGCTAGAACCACCTAACGGACTAATTTTCAGAAAGCATCCAGTGACTGATAATTGACCATCCTGACAAATTCCCATTAACTGACAACACATCTACAACTACAAGTGGTACTTATCACCCTTCTGGGGCATCTTTTCTCAATTTAATTGCCTAAAACCAAATAAATGAAAGACTGGCATGCTCGTATTGAGAGTATTGCCACAGCAGCCCCAGAATATAAATGGAAACACATAATATGCCACTCATAAATCAGAAAACCCATACCTGTAAAAGCGTACATATAACAGAAACAAAGTCGCGAAGTTTTTGCATAAACATGTACTTCTCACCAGCAGCAGACAATGAATTTTCCAGCGTAGTGACATTTGACAATGAGGCAGATAAATTTTCTTCAGTCTTGTTCAACGATGCCACAGTTCGGCCATGAGACTCCTGACAAGGAAGATAAATGACAATAGTGTTAACTATGTATCCATTATACTTTTTAGAATGCAACACATGCTGTTATGTTCGGTCATGTGTGCTCTGTATTTTCTGTGAGCAATATTTTTAATAGTTCTACAGCTCTCATGGCAACACAAAAAAGATGGTCAAATACTGCAGCATCAATTGGAATAGGGAACAGAAGATATTGTAAATGCAATTTTGACCACATGTGCATCCCTCCTTTCAAAAACTACGTGCGTAGAGACAGTAGCTTTCAGTTTACATTCCTACGTTAGTGCACACGGGATCGGCGTGGCACCATATCTCCATGAACATAAATGCAGAACCTCAATGGTTCTCTGTAAAATTTACCATAAACAGTTTCAAAGTTATAAAAATCATGAAAACCCCACTGAAATAAATGTAAACCGACAGGCTCATGATCCAAATCACAGTCTAACATAGCCAGGACAGAGGAAAGACGCCAAACAAAAAACAGTTTACAAGAGTGCACAGAAAATGAACAACATCACACCACAAAAGCTAATTTCAGGAGCATACCAATCTAGCATTGTGTAATACCATGAAACCAATGCTTGCATGATTATCAACAGAAGATAATTTCAGGAGAATACCAATCTAGCATTGTGTAATACCATGAAACCAATGCTTGCATGATTATCAACAGAATGTCAGGAAAGAGAAAAAAATGATTTAGCAAAAACCATCTTCCCGGCCTCAAGATATCATAATATCAAAAAAAGATTACCTACTTCATTTATCAAATGTCTCTAGCTAATGCTAATCCATGGAATTGGTATTCAGAACACATAAGAAAGTGCAATTTTTCATTCTTGTTTATTGTTTATTCTTCCCATATGTGAACTTCTTAAGCATAGTCAATTCCAAGCTAGGATAAAGGAAGAGGGTCACATAAAAATAGTCAACTATGATAAATCCTCTGAATATTGAAACTAGAACAGAATGTTACAAAAGGAGTAATGTAGCCAATCCAACTAGCTTGGGGTCGAGGTACAGTCAATTGATTGCTTGTAGTGATCATTACAACAACAACTCGCCTCAATCCCAAACAATTTGAGTTGTCCATATCAATCTTCATAGACCATGTTATTCCATTTAAACTCATCTCATGCCAAAATATGCAAATACAAATAAAAAGTATTAGAAATACTGTATAATTTTCTGAACGTATAAATCTCTGAAACACTAAACCACTCCTAGAAAGCATAGGACCTATACAGTAGAGGTATTAGCGTCTAAAACATATGCTAAACTAATATGCATCGTCTACATACGGGCTGCTAGGTTGATCGCTGAAAATAAAAGTACCAGGAAATGCACTTACAAACACTTACTTTCAATCTTCCCATACTCTCAAACAAAGCATTTTTAGCAACCTCAGCCTGCTTTGAAATCGACAAGGCATCCAAACTAGGCAAGCCTCCAACCACTCCTCCTCCAATTGTAGGACCACCAACAGAGACACCAATACTCTGTACTGAGGAATAATATACACTACTGGCTCCTGCAGCTGAAGTTTCAAGATTCACCTTCTGAACTGCAGCTGTAGCACTGGTTACACTACTACTCATAACCCCTCTATTAGACCCGCCATCATCCAATCTTTTTCCTAACCCTTTTCTCACCTGTTCTTCTTCCCACATTTTGTCCTCCTCATCATCTTCATTATCATTAGTATCAAAATCCTCAAACACACCTTTTCTCCCACTATCAGTTTTCTCCCCGAAGAAGCCAATTCTCCTCTGGAACTCCGGTTCCTCATCGCTCAACCCCTCAGCTTCCCCATGATTACCCCCTTCATCCAATGCTATATAGTCTCGTGCCGCAGGCCGAGCTTCACGCAGCCTCTCCCTCTTAGCCCTTATTGCTTCTATAGTCTTTGCATCATATTGATCAACACCCACTTCATTATCCTCGTCACTTTCTTGGCCTTTTTCCTCAGCTTCAGCTCTTTGAGTACTACTCGCACTAACTGGTTTCACAAGGCCTTTCAAGACAATCACTGGCTCAATGTGCCCGGGCTTAGGACCGGGTTTGGGCCCGGAAGGGCGAGAGCTTGCTAGGGTTCTGGTGTTCTTCTGGAGCTCAAGGAGAGCTTCTTTTGTATAAGTACCAGCTTGGGGTTGTACATTAGAGGTAACTGAAGGTTTTTTAGGGGCAATTCGGTCTTTTCCAGAAGTAAGCTTGTGCGCAGAAGATGACGATGAAGAGGAGGGCTTGGTGATTCGTGAGGGTCTGGAGGAGGGCGTATTGAAGGGACTTTCGCCGGAATCTTCTTCGTCGTCGGCGAAACTAAGTAGGGTTTTCTTTTTGGGCTTAGTGGCGGTGGTGGTGGGGGCAGGAGTTTTAGGTTTAGCGCCGGTGCCATTGGTGGTTGTCTTAGTGGTGGGGGTTTCCTCTTCGTCGCCGTCGTATCCGCCACGGCGGCGGAAGTTTCGGGCTTTCGCGGACATGATTTGGTGCCGGAGACTGTTTTCACGGTGGAGAGAAGAACGCGAACGAAGACACAAAATGAACGTCGAATTAAAAATTTAAAATCATATACAAATATATTCAGTCTATGGATATTTGCGCTTCTAATTTCTTGAATATTACAGTAACGAATTCTGATTTTTGTTGGTGAGATATTTGATTTTTACATTTACACTATTGAATTACCCATATGTTAGTTTTGGTTGTACTTTTACTTTATGTTGTCAGATAATATAATTTTGAATCTAGTTTAAATGTAACATAATTCTTACACAAATGGATCAAAAACATGTATTTTTAATTAATTGGATGTTAAATATGTTTGTAAGTGTTTAACCAAAATTCGTTTGATAGGCCAAAGAATTAAATTTGTGAAATTAGGCCACAAGCAATTCAACAAGAAAGTTGAATCTTTGTTGATATGAATATAGTAAAAATAAAGCAATGAGATTGATAAGTTGAACAATTAATCAAACTAAATAAAGATTGAGAGAAATATGATTTTTTTCCTAGTAGATTGATAATCAAAAACAACGTAGAGTGCTCAAATGAACATAAAATTAGATAGAATTTCAGTAGAACGCATTGTATGCAGCTTAGAATCAGAGTATAGGATACAATTGTGGGAAAAGAGTCTCATATGTTATGTCCATTATATGAAAAATAAGTACAAATTCCATCCATTACGCTTAGCTATGGCGTAATTGTTGGGTGTTAATGGAGAATTTCGAATATCTCAGGATCTGCTGGTTAGGGAAGGTAACTATTAGACGCTTGTGACCATTCGGATCCCAAATGGCTTTGACCAGAGAAAATAGGACCGTATAGGATAAAATATGTTTATATTAAATGATCGCATATGAAAGTGACACATGTAGCTGAATACAGAAGATAGTTGAATCCGAAGGCAACGATCCCGTCTGATACCAGAGAGAATGATACTCATAAAGATGAAGTAAATGTCCGCCACTCGATAACATTTAATGAGAAATATTCTACGGCATTAAGTACACAACCCATTACAAAAAATATGTCATTCACTGCCTGTCGTTACACATTCTTCAATGGCCCTCATAATTGACATTAAAGAGGTGTTTGATCCTAGGACCTTGTTCCCTAGGTGCAACTATAAATAGTGAGGTCTATTATCATTGTAAAGGACACGAATTTTCTGACAAGCATACGCTACACTCTATTCAAAACTCAATATAATTTTATCTTCTTGTTTACTGATATTGTTGATGTTGTGCCTGGAAGCCCTGCTCCCAAAATTTCTATTTCTGCTACTTTATCTCCATCCCAAGGCTAAATATTATATTTTTATCTAATTCATCTATTATTTCAGGATCAAATTAATTCACTTGTCTATAAATCACGTATAGATTTAATTGTACCATTTTACGGGTAAACAGTTTGGCGCCCACCGTGGGGCTTAGACAGTTGTGTAATTAAGTTGGTCCTTGCCTCTTTTACTAACGTGTTTGATTATTTGTTCTTAGCAAAAAATCATAAAAATGGCAGATAATGGTGTTAACAACACACACAAAACCTTGAAGCCCAATGAAATCAGCCTCAGCACGAGGATTGAATCAGTGATACCCGCAGTGAGGTGAACGAGGTCACGCCGGTTCACGGCAGATAGTACCCGCGACATGTTCAAGAAGCGACTCCTGATGATGTTGAAGAGGAGCACGTCGTCGAATCGGTAAGGGTCCCGCAGGAGCAACAAGAGGCCATTATATGTCATCTCATACGGTAGAATAAGGTTATGGTAGAGCTAAAGCAGGCGTTATCGGGTGATTCCAATAACGTGAATGGACGAGGTTCAGTTCCTCCCGGCGCTCCTGCAAATCAAACAACGCAGAGGGTCAACAACAGCACCCCGAGGGGCGAGGTCAGCTTCAGTGGGGATAGGGGGAGCGGATCCGGTCACAACAACGAGAGTGATTCCTTCAAAAACGAACTCATACGGTTTTATGAGGGAAGTGAATGCCTGCATTGACCAAATTCCGGGCGCACCACCAATGCTGAAAGGGCCGGACTCAAAGAAGTACACTCAATTGTCGTATAAACCTAGCGCGGCACCAGAATTGATCCCGAAGCGATTTAAAATGCCGGACGTACCGAAATATGATGGGACTTCGAATCCTCAGGAGCATATCACCACCCACACAACGGCCGTGAAGGGGAACGATTTAGCTCCCCACGAGATCGAGTCAGTTTTGTTGAAAAAATTCGGAGAGACTCTCACGAAGAGAGCCTTGAACTGGTATTCACTTTTGCCTGAGCATTCTATAGATTCCTTCGAGATGCTTGCGGATTCTTTCATTAAGGCCCATGACGGGGCCAGAAAGGTCGATATATTCAGGATTGCACAAGGAGAGTCCAAGTTATTGCGGGAGTTTGTAACCCAGTTCCAAAAGGAAAGGATATTGTTATCGGTCGTTCCGGATGAATGGGCGACTGAAGCATTCACCAAGGGTTTGAATCCGAGAAGTTCTGATGTTTTCCAGAAGTTGAAACAAAGCATGCTAGAGTTCCAAGCGGTAACTTGGGCAGATGTTCACAATCGGTAAGAGTCTAAGATAAGGATTGAGTACGATCAGCTCGGTTTCCCTGCGTCAGTTAAAGGTCAAGACCGGGAAAAGAATAAAGAGAAATCAAAAGACGATTTTGACATAGATCGGCAGTCTTCGAGGAGCTGGTTTTCGCCCTATGAACGGGCCGAAGGACGCGATAGAGGTGTAATGACCCGACCGGTTGTTTGAGTATTACAACCCCGTTCCCCTATTTACTGCTCAATTTATGCTTTACAGTTGTTATGTGACTTGTCGGGTGATTAGTTCGGGTCCGACGAGGTTTTGGAATGATTTAGAACACTTAGTTCTAAGGTTTAGAACTTAAGTTGAAAAGGTTGACCGGATGTTGACTTATGTGTAACGACCCCGGAGAATTTTTGCTAAGGAAATTAAGGTTTTGTGGTGCCAAGGTAGATCAATTAGTACAAAAGTTGTAAAAAATTTTGGGTTGAACAGTGCACGGGGGGAGTTAAAGAAAAACTTTTGGTAGAAAGATGCATTTCTGCGGTCCACTTTGCGACCGCAGAATCAATCTGCGGGCGCCGCAGAATGAGCAGAAGCTGGGCAGGTATGAGTGTAAATCTGCAGTCGATTATGCGACTGCAGAACTGTTTTACAGTGCATTATACGACCGTAGAATAGGTCTGCGGACCGCATAATGACCGCAGACTAGAATAGTTTTGCCCAGCTTCGGAGGGCCTTTTGCGACCCATTTTGCGGGCCGCAGAAGCATTATGCGGTCGCATATGCGGCCGCAGAGTGTGTTTCGGAGCTTTATTTTTCTGGTTTTATAAACCCGACCCCATTCTTATAAAAACACTATTATGGGTCATTTTGAAGGGTTTCAACTGATAGTTTTGAGAGAGGTGAGAGCATCTTAGAGAGAGAAAGTGAAGACCTAGCCATTTGTCCATCAATTCTTGTTCAAGGTTTGAAGATTTCACAAGGATCTTGCTAGGGTTTCAAAGAGGTAAGAATTTCTAACCATAGTCTTCAATTTCGAGTTGGATAAAGATGAGTGATTGAGAGTATGATTCTTGAGTGTAAAAGTATTATTTATACACACGTACCAATAAAGTTTGTGGAAAGATTATTGAGTTCAAATGGGTAAAGATTGGATTGAAAATGGTAGAAATCTTCAAAGACTTTAATTGAAGATTTGAGGGTCCAGTTGATGTCGGAATTTGGTGAAATTTGTATGATTCAACTCATGGTTGGATAGACATTCATATTTTGTAACTTTTGTCAGGTTTTGAGACGTGGGCCACACGGGCGATTTTTGGGTGCAATTTTCGGATTTTTGTTGAAAAAATTAGTATTTTCATATGGAATTAATTCCTATAATCTGCATTGACTAAATCAAATTAATTATGACTAGATTCGAGGCGTTTGGAGATTGATTCGCGAGGCAAAGGCATAGCGGAGTAAAGAAATTACAAGGTTTGAGGTAAGTAACACTTCTAAACTTGGTTCTGAGAGTATGAATAAATTGTTTGGACGTCACACGCGATAGGTGCTCGGACGTGCACCATAGAAATTGTTACTTGAATAAATCTTGTGAAGTTGTAAAATTTAAAGAATCATGTAGTTATTCATATAATCTCCATGTGTTAGGAAATTTAACTGAAACTCGTATTAAAGATTATGATTAGGCTACGTGCCGATATTTTGGGACCCATAGGGTCGTGTTGATGTTGAATTTAATTATTTTAAAAATATATATTTCATACTGAGTCATGTTCATCCATTGTGAGGATATTTATGGGATCGGGGCTGCCCGCCTACAGCAGGCCATATCGGCTTTATATATCTATTATTATTATATGGAATGGGGCTCCCCGCCTGCAGCAGGCCCTATAGGCTTTATCATTTTATGGATCGGGATTGCCCGCCTGCAGCATGCCATATAGGTTTTATATCATGCTTGGGCTGAAGGAGCCCCCCCAGAGTCTGTACACACACCCAATGAGCGTAGATGATTATATATATATATATATATTCGGGATGGACTTCCCAGGGCATGGACTTGCCTTATTTATTTATATTGTGATAAATTTTCCCTGGAAATGGATCATGTCCGTATCATTTACATATGAGGATAAATTATCCTAGGACTGGATTGGCCTTATACGGTACTGAGTGACTGACTGTCAGTCGATGTGAATATATATACGGGATGGAATACCCCTGGGCTGGATTGACCATAAACAGTATCGAGTGACCGAATGATTAGTGACCAGTAGTACAAGAGGTCTTTCCACTGAGATGTCACATTCCTCATATCATGCAATATTGATCTATTTTTCTTGTACTGAGTTTAACTGTTGAACTTGAAAGCATGCCTATATTTATGTACTATTATTTATGTACTGGACTGTACCTGCATACCTCGTCGCTACTTTTAGCCCAGAGGTTAGTCTTGTTACTTATTGAGTTGGTTGTACTCATACTACACTCTGCACGTCGTGTGCATATCCAGGTACTTCCG